AATTTGTATTTGGTCAATTCAGCAAACTCTCACTGACTGATGTCCACATTTGGAGATGATCGTGAGGAATAAGAAAAAAAATTACATTCATTGGGCTGCCTAGTAAAAATTGTCTTTGTTTGTTTTATCTCAAAAGTGCAAAGGCCTGTTTGTTTATGTGGACAGTGCAGGATTGTAAGGACCCTTCTATGGGGACTTTTTTCTTCCTCTAGCTTCAGCTTCCTACATGTAGATGTTTCAGACAGGGTGCTAACAAAAGACCCACATGTGGAAGTGTCCCTGGGCAAGACCCTGAACCCCCACTGCCGCTGTGTCCCACCAGAATGTGATTTAAGCACTGATTAGTCTCTATAAGATGGCCTGTCTGGGTTAACTTTGAGAGACTAGTAAAGTGCTGTGTGAATGAGTAAATGAGGGCATAGACGACGTGAAGCACACCGAGTATCCTGGTTGTCCAGTTCATTTAACATTATGTTTGTAAGGAACATGAATTTGTGGGATGTGAAGTAGAGCTGAGAATGTGGGTTGCACACATAAAAAATTAACCAAATCTTCCCTGCTATTACCAAACAGCTTATTTTGCTGTTTCTATTGACATTTGTTTTGAGCTTGTGGTACCTCAGGTGATGCCAATCAGGTACCCGGTATAAGATTTATTGCACATCAAATAAATAATTTATGAAACACAAATTTCTTTACTTTTTGTATATTTATATACATTTTATATAAACATATATGTTCACATATGCATGCATGTATGTGTGTGTGTGTGTGGAGGCTAGGGTTGTATATGACCTGCTCCAGTTTTATTTTGATTTATAAGGCTGGTGGAGAGTATCATCACAGAATCGCTTCATCTTCTCTCCTTTATTACACCACATTTGTTTTCATTTTACTCCCAAGGCCTGGCTGAATACATTACAGATTTCCCAAGGGGCTGCGGGGCCAGCTCCTCCACCACAGGAGACAATGGGATGACAGGGAGGAGTTGCTGAGCATGCTTCATCATTAGAAGCATTAGTATTATTTTTACTTTAAAACATTATCAGCGGTTTATCATTATTCTTGATATTAAGGCGAGACGCATCGGTCAAGCACGCTGATTGCATCTATAAATAAATAATAAAAAAAAGCTCAAACCAGTCGTGACAATTGAAGGGAGGGGCAGTTTGTGTCAAATCCAGATTTAGAATTTAAATTTAAGACTGTCCTTTTATTATAAGCAGAGATAAACCAAAGTTTTCGTCTATCTTCAGYGATGTAACTTTTATCCACTAAAACTAATTCAGTCAAGACAGTCACACCTACATCTCTGATCTCTATCRATGCTCTGACTGCAGCTAACATTTGTTGTTTTCTTTATGCCCGAGGGTAATGTGAGGCACAAAATTAGATTCAGCATTTGAAAGATAACTAAGAGCAGAACATGAGAGTAAAGATAAACGGCAATTGAGTTTAGCATACAGAGGTCAGTGACAGGTTAGTGCACAATGTAAGGTTAATGTCCAATATAATACATGCACTTTTCTATGGGGATGCACACTGAGGTCAATGAGTTGTTTTAAGGCACATTTGAATTAACTTGAMCAATAAAAGATCAAAAGATGCGTGTGTTTGTTTCTGATTTTTTTCCCTTACATGTTTTCCCTTTAGCTGTAAAAATGATACACAAATTATTTAYTTCCAAACTTGTACATTATAATGCTTTGTTTAAATAAAAGTGATTTTGAACAAATATTTTAATTTGTCAAAAACATCTGTGCAAC